GTCAGCCACACTCTAAACGGGAAAAGACAACTGTAGATGTTTCAGGCACAATAGCGGATTCATACCCACACTGTTTAATTTCTACAAAGCAATAATGTAGTATAGGTATAGACAAATTTCTATCTAATGGAGATGTTCACAAGGAAACATTGAACGTAGATGACGAAAATGCTTCTCCCTTTTTAGAATGCTGGGCGTCTTCTTGTGAACGCCTGATGTAACACTAAGGGCACCTATCGGCGGATGACACACCGGCGCTGCCAGAGGGTGCGCAGACGGCCAGCGGCAAACGAGAACGATGACGTCCGCCAGTGGCAAATGTCGACTGCCCCTCCTTGCACCCCCATACCCCATACTTATACTCAAAGTCTCTCCTGTTTCTGCCTCTTTTCCTTTTTTCCTCTCCTCTTTTCTCTCCCTCCTCTTTTCTCTCCCTCCTCTTTCTCCTTCTCTCCTCTTTCTCTTTCTCCTTCTCTCCTTCCTCTTTCTCCCCTTTCTCTCCCTCTCATGTACCTACCTTGTATAGATTTGTACCTGTGCGCGTGCATCGCTTGGACCATAGTTTGGGCGCCACTGCTCCTCCTCACCCACCCCCTGCCTCTCCCCACCCCCTCGCGGCTACTGCCTCTGGCCGGCGCAGGCCTCATCTGCACTCACTCACCTCAATGGACACCTCGAGGGGAGACCCGTCCAGGAGGGTCACCTTGGCGAGGACGGTCTTGGAGCGGCTGGCGCGCTTGCTGGGCGACGGCGCTGGCGACGCGGCGGCCGGGCCGTTGGTGGCCTGCAGCTCGACGCCCTTCGTGTCCTCGGGCATGCTGAAGCGCTACTCCTGCAACAGAGAACGGACCGGGGTTAGAGAAAGAGAAACGGAAAAGCAGGCGCATGGCATGGCACATAGATAGCAAACGAGGGTCATAAGGTAGCTGGAGCTGGGCCCGGCCGCACGAGACCGCGCTCATGGCGTCATACGTCATCTGAGCAACAGGCAGCCTCGCCTGCTAAGCTGCACCCTGCTGCGCCCTGCCGCTGCGCCACCGCCACGCCACCTGCAGCTGCAGTGCCCAACAGGCCAGGCCCCTCCCGGCTCACTCTCATCTCCTGCAGGAACAGCTGCAGACTGCCGCCGCACGTGCACGTGCATATATGCGGTCGCGGTGCATAGTAATGCCCTCGCGAGACATGACCCGTATTTTATTCGCTAAAGGGAGAAAGTCTCGAGATGATAAATGTTATACTCTAAAACATATTAGAAAACACTACCGGCCGAGTGGAAATCCAATCACGTTACACAGTACATAATAGGGAAATTTATTTCTTTGTGCGCTTGACACCGTTACCACCACGACACCTGCATGCCTGCAACATAGTAGTCGGCTGAGTCAGCCCGTCCGAGAGAGAGGGCCGAAGCAGCGAGAGGAGAAGCCTGGCAATGTAGGCCTTCCCTCTGCTCTGCTGCGCCCGTCGGCCCGGCCAGCGCCAGCCGCGGCCATAGCGCTCGCGCCAGCTGACAAGGAAACGAACGGCAAGCGCGACAGGACAGCGACACGGCGACACGAGTGTGACACACGGGCAGGGGACACTGCGCCGGCACGCCGCGGGGAGCCATGTGCAGCGCGTGCGCTTTCTCCCGCCCCGTGCCGCGCCCTGCCGCCGGCCGGCGCCGCAAAGGCCAGAGCCCAGCAGCGGCAGCAGCAGCAGGAGGGAGGGAATGCCTCCATAAATTGGCGCGGGCATAGGAAACGCAACGCAGGCGGCCAGATGGGGAGTGCACACGGGACAGGGACAGGACAGAGGGGGCTCTCCCAAGTAAGGCGGGGAAGGGAAAGCCGGCAGCGTATACAATGGGAGATAAGGGCTCGCGGGGTCCACCACGTTGGCGGTGGCACCCACAGGGGCACCCACGGGGGGCGGCAGCACCCACGCACGGACGGCGTGCGCGGGAGGGCACAAGAAAGGGGAGAGGGGAGGGGGACTAGGCAAGCAAAAAGGCCCGCGGGGCGCACCATTTAGACGACCCATAATTTTTGCAGCACAAAGGGGGAGGGAGAGATGTTTTTGGCTTTTTGCAGCCGTTCGCCCTTGCTATGGATGGGATGGGGGGGGGGGGTGGACGAGGAGGAGCGGGGCGCACTGGCACGACTAAGTGCCGTCGGCTCCTGCTGGGGCGACGAGCGCGGGGGACAAAAGCGGACAGGGCCGATCCATCTCGGAGACCAGGAGAAGAGGGGCCGCCTCCTCCTCCCGAAAAGCAAACTGGCGTTCCATAACTGAGCCGCCACGCCACCGCCGCCGCCTGCCGCGGCCCTGTCCCGCTAGGCGAGGAGGGCCTAAGTGCGGCAGTGCCGCAGCCAACAAAACAGAGGGTCGTCGCGCGCTGCGCTCGCTTAGTTGGAGAAAGAGAGAGAGAGAAAAGAGAGAAAGAGGGGAGGATAATTGCTGGTTCGCGCGCCGTGCTGCTGCCTGGCACCATTTTGGGCCAAGTTTTGGTCGTCGAGTGGCGCCGGCGCCCCGGGCCAGGCTCTAGGGGACACTACTCGCGCCCACCCAGCCGTGCCGGCGCGTCGTCGTCAGGAGGAGAGGTGGCCGACGCGACGCCCATAGAGTAGGCCCGCGCCCATAGAGGCGATCAGCTCGACGCAAAGCAGACGACGCGACGACGACGACGACGTTCCACAGCGCAGCAGCAGCGCGACGACACGGGCCGTGACGGACGGCGGGACACGCTCCAACGGCTCCCTCCTACACCTCCCATTCCTCCTCCTCCTCCTCCTTCCCGCGCAGGAAGAACCTCCTCCTCCTCCTCCTCCTTCCCGCGCAGGAAGAACCTCGCCCCCTCCCCTTTCCCCTTTCCTAGCTCCCCCTGCTCGTAATCCGGTCGTGGGAGGATCACATCACACCACCAGGACCATAGCCATCGGTCCGACCAGCGCTGGGCTGGGCTATGGGGATGAGCCCAAAGCCGAAAGCCTCGCCGAGAGCACAGCATTGGGCTGTACAGTCACGCCCCGCTGCGGCGGTGGCGCACAACAAGGGCTTGGCTTTGACACCGCCAGGACACCGTCAGGAGTACACCGGCGAGGAGGCAGCGACAAGGCACCGTCAGGAAAATGCACATGGGCAAAGTTATATAATTTACAGTGTATCTTAGCTTAACCAGGTTGAAGAAATTTTCGCAGTTTCAGTAAAATTAGCCACAGTCTAACAGTAGTCCGGTTCGACATCATAATCATCATCGTCACATGTCGGCCTCACACAGAGAATCGAGTTGCAGCGCGCGCCACGGTCGAGGTCGGCCCGCACGCACGCCGCGACCGCAGCGCGACCCCGGAGGAGCTCGCCGAGCAGAGCTCATCGGGGGGCTCCGGGCTGACTGCGGTCGCCGGGGGGTCACGCCCTGCTCAGCCACGCCAAACATTTCATTCACGCTGGAGCTCTGGAACAGGTCCGCCCCAGCAGCGTCGCGACGACGACGCTCATTGTCTCTCGAGCGCGACGCACACCAGAGCAAGCGTGGACAATGGCACACGCCGTCGTCGCCAGCCGTCGCGACGCCGCCCCCACGGCGGGGCCGTCCTACTTGCGGGAAAATATTATTGAGGGACGGTCCCCTCGCCACGGCTGGAGCGAGAGGCCAGCCAGCCAGCAGCGCCCGACTGGAGAAGCACGCGCCTCCGTTTCTTGCAGCACTTGTTCCCCACCTGCCCAGGACGACGTGATCGATACGGGCAGTGTGGCGGGCCGCGCGGGCGGGCGGGACACGCTTGTGCCAGGGCGTGTCGGCGCCACCATAACAACCATCCCCCCCTCCGCTGCGGCGTGGCGTGGCGTAGCGTAGCGCGGCGTTATGACTTCTGATTCAAAGTTCCGATCGTGGGGTCGGCGGCGTGCGCACGCGGGTGGAGCAGAGGAGGCTCGCGGCCCGCACAGGGCGGAGAGTATAAAACGTAAAACCACAATGGTTATTGCGGGCAGTACACCTCTCTCTGTAAGGGAGGGAAGGGTGGCCGCCCCGCCGACCCGCAGGGGGGCCTGCTGGGCTGGGGACGGCGGCACACGCACAGCGCACGAACAGCAGGGACGGCCACACCTTTGCGCTTGTGGATAGTTACTTCCTTCTTACTCGCGCGGCCCCGCGCCGCCACACTCCACGCCCTCTGCTGCTCCGCACGCCCAACAACACCGACTCGAATTGCCTTTCGCATGCAACTACGCTATACTGTGGCACTGTATACTCTCGCGGACGATAAAGCGGAGGCAAGAAAGAAAAACGCTTCCAAACACGGCAAAGGCAAGGGAGGAGGGCAGGGGGCGGCGCGGGGTGCAACTCTGTGGTGCACGGCGAGTCGAGCGCTGCTGTTAGCACATTGTACGACAACTCGACCCGCCTTGCGCATGCGGCCATAAAAACTCCATGAAGAAAGATACGCGCGAGGAGTGAGTGAGAGAGAAAGAAAAATAAGGGGGGTGAAAAAGGAGGAATAATAATGGAAATGAGAAACATAGAAAAGAAAGAGCAACTGGTCATAAATTGGCGCACGCTTCGTTCCGTTCACTTCACCTCCACAAGAGAGAGGGAGGGAGGGGGGGTAAAAGGGCTGGGCTTGCTCGTCGACGTGCTGAGACGAGAGGTTCCCACATCACAAGGTGCGCGGCACACACACACACATGAACAGGACGCACTGACTGCAGGAAACACGACGTCGCGCGGGTTGCTGTTGTTTACTTTAGCGATGTGTCGCGACGAGGTGCGGCGATGGCGATATCGCCGCCGATAACGCGCCCTGGCTGTCGCTATGAGCTGGCCGAGCCGTCCGGCTGCTGCTGCCCGCCGTATGCGATAAGACAACGGAGTGACCAGGCGGGGCCCGCGAAAGGGCGTGTCCTTGAGACGTCCCGGTCCCGGTGGCGGTTCGGTGTGGGTGGGTTGCGTTACGCCGCGGGCGTGCTGCTCCCGACCCCGACGACCCGCAGCGCCGGCGGTGTGACAGCTCCATGAGCAGCACGCCGACGAACAACATCGCCGCTGACAGCCGGCAGTAGCAGCGCAGCGCCGGCCGCGGCGGAGGCTGCTGCTACTGCTGCATCGTCGCCCACTCCATCACGGCCATCACAACGTCAGATCCGGAGAGCTGATTGTCGAGTATTTAAAACCCACACGTCACACACACAAGTGAGCGGGAGAAGAGAAAGAAGAGGAGTGAGTTTGATGTTGTGTGCCCCACAGCCGTCACCGTCAGTATGACGAGCTCCCGAGGCGGGACGGAGATTTTCCGTCATTGCAAAGGGCGACGACGCACAGTGCTTTGCCCCACGCGTCTCCGTTTTCCCAACAGATGACAATCTGTCACAAAATGCAGAGGTTGGAAATTGCCTAGAGAAGTCGGTTCGGCAGTTTATACAGTGTGTGTGCTAGCCGCGGGGTAGAAAGTGGGGCTTTAGAAGGGTTGAGGGGACGTTAGCATTCCAGTTTACTGCCTCCAGTCCGAGCGGCACGCAACGGCGGCGACCCCACCCCGCGCGGGGC